AAGAAAACACTTTTGTATTTACTTTATTTCTTATAAAATACTTTACCCGCCAGTTTTGTTAAAGTTAAAAACTCGATTCTAATGAACAAGAAAACTTTGAAACAGTGAAAACGATGATGTTAAGGAAATCTTCCAATAATTTATTATTTATAAACATATATGATTATTTGAATCTTATTGAATATTAAAATTGTGAAAGTTTAGATGAATGGATGAATGTTTGTTAGAGGTTGTCACCTAAACTACTGAAGGAAGCGCAATGAATTTTAGCATAGATTTTTTATATTAAAAGAGCGCAAACGAACGGAGAACACCGAGGTCAACGACGCAACTCCAAAGGAACCACAGATGCGATATCGGTCTTTGAGGAAATGATAGATGTAGATTATAGAACATATTTACTCTAGAACATAGGCTCCTGACTTTTGTTGTTTTTTTAATTCTAATTGGATGGAGTCGCGAGCTATTTTGTCATAATATTTTAAACTAGCTGTTCAAAATTATATTTTGTTCTTTACATGTGTCAAATTATCAATTGCAAATGTCAAAATGACATGGCATTATAACAAACCATGGCAACCTTGCTTCCTTGATGTTGGCAGCGACTTATGGTCTCTTTCCCACATTAGGGTTTTTATTCAAAATTTTTACCCCCTAAGTTTAATGGCGTGAAAATATATAGTCTAAAGCGTGACGTAAATTTAGGGCTTTTTATTAAAGAAGGAATTATTCAAAAATATGCTGTAATTGCTGACATCTTAGGCAACAAAGAAGTATGTGTTTACGCTTTATTATAATAGTATAGAAGTAGAGATACACTGTAGAAAATGAGCTCGTAATGTTTTAACATAAAAGTATTCCGAAAGTCAAGTCGGTTAGTAAGGTTTGCATTTAAATTACCTTCATTTACCAGGTAAAAGCAAGGACGTTTAATTATTTCTGCAAATGTGAAAACTTTGCAGTAGGCAAGTTAACCCTTGCCGATTAAGACTTTGGAAAGTTTTAGAGATAATTGCCTAGTCTACGCTTGTAAGCGTGTACCGGCCGATGTAGAGCAAAGATGATTATATAAACTATTCTAATAATAGATAACTCATTTATAGTAATATTGAGTGAGAAATTCGTATTAATGTCTTAATTTTTTAAAGTAAGTAACCTATTTGTTCCTTTACAACTAATTAAGTAACCTTTTACTAATTTTATCGAGGACAGTTGAACGTACTGGATTTACCTTCTAACAATTTATCCTTCTATCCATCTTAACTTTGGCATTTATAATATTATATATTTAATAACACTAAAAATTCACACTACCGCATAACTTCAGTCAGCCCATGAACATGGCGCATGCAACTGTGCCGAAATATCGGGAGCTAAAACAATTCAATCGTGGTAAGAAACCCGTATCTTACGAACATTATATTTACTAAAAATTGCTTTAAATTCTTGACCTGCCACTTTCAAATTATGTAATTCTGGTTCGTTGTATAAAATTGATGGGTTCGAATTATTTAATAGGTTATACAAAACCTATGGACCAATAGGTAAACTTTCCGGACTGTTTGGATCACCAGATATAGTAATTTTATTTGACGCCGAGAGCATGGCTTATGTAAATTATTGATTTAAACATTACAATCATAAACAATAATTTAATAAGTTACCCAATTTTAGATTTTACGAAGTGAAATAATAAAGTAAGATTTTGAGCATTTTCGACCATATTTTGCTTAGTATTAAGAGGGTAACTTATTACTAAAGTTGGTTAATAAGGCTTTTTAATTAATTGTTAAGTTTCTTCATCTATTCATATTATAACATGAACAAAATTTATACATATTTAAGAGTGAATTTACGGAGCGTTTTTTTAACGTCGCGTTAAAATCCGGCGTTGGTGACTCTCAAATGATGAACTCTTAAAAAGCAATCTTATTTCGATAGCCCAGGGCTTAAATTTAAAAGAGTATGAACAAACACATGGAATGGAAAAGTATTTGTTCTATTTAAAATAGTTTAGCGTGCGTTAAAAAAACGTCCATGCGAATGGGTGTAGCGTAACGAAAAATTGCCGTTTATTTTATGAAATATCAAAACTTTATTAAATATACGTTACATTTCAGTTGATATACTTTTAGTAGTGATAGTTTATTCTGCAGAATATTCGTTGCCTATCTTATTAAGTACGCTTCGATAAATCCAATACCATTAGTTGCGTTGAGTTCAGTGGTTTGTAAAAGTGAACACCAACATGTTAATTTATTGGTCTGTTTAAACTTATAAGACTAGCAACTAAACATTCGTTAGAGCTGATATACAATTAAAATTTAGAGCGGATGCAAACCTTTGACTAAACTACAAGTGTTGAGACTGTCGACTGTCGATTGTTTCGCAAATTCAACTGTTAACTGTGGTCCATGTAAAGTCATAGGAATCAAAGCGCGACTAAACAGTTGTGCGATATTTTAGTCAAAGGCGCGCGCTGTTACATTATGTATCTTTTGTAATGTTACAAGATTTCCTGATCTATAATTATTACAAAGATGAAAGATTTGTATTATTGAATTTTTTGTATGTATTTGATTCAACCAAAAACTACTGGGCTGATTTTAAAATTTCTTTCACCGTTAGAAAGGTAGTTTAACTGTGAGGAACATAGGCTATATTTTGTATTATTTAGATTATATTTTGTAACAGTCATTAATAAGTTAATGTTTGTAATAAATAATGTTCAATTTGTAATTATAATTATTGTTGGTATTATTTTCGTAATTCATAGCAAGTATGAGGTTATCCAATTTCAAACTAAGCAATCTAGAACATAAATCAGCTAAATTTGTAGCAACACTACGAATCTCTTGACGCAGAAACTACTGGACAAACAACAATAAATTTCAAATGCACTGCTTTACAGATATCTCCGTGAAAACCTTTTGCTATGTTTACGTACGTTTATATTACAAGCAAAAATGTAACATACATGAGATTGAAATTTCTGTTGAATATTATGTTTTCATTCCTATAGTAAAATGGAAAAAATTGCCCTACGATACGATCATTTTAAAATATGTTCTCGGAAATAAATATTATTTCAGATCGTTTTTATTATTGAAATTCTACAAGAAATAAAAGCAATACCTATCGTTAAAAAAATGAAGAATTCAATTTTTACGTGGATTATTTTATAACTTTTTATTGAATCACAATTCGATATGAAATTCCTTTCAACTTATTGTAAGCGTTTAAAAAATTCAAATATTTCATCCGATATGCAGCAATATTTGTTACATTTAGTAATTTAATTATCAAATTCCAATTCGAGTGTATCTTACTAATATTATAAATGCGAAAGTTTAAATGGATGGATGTTTGTTAGTTTGTAGCCTAAACTACTGAACGTAGTCTTATAGCCGTCTTATGGTACAAATAAATGTTGTATTTTTTTAACTAAATTAAATGGTACAGCGATAGTCGTCAGTCGTAATAGATAAAAAATGGATGGTACAGAATTAAAAGTATAGTTTTTTATTATATATTTTATTTATTATTTTATAATACAGTTCTTATAATCAATTCGTTTGCGATTCATTTAACAGTTAAATTTGAACGTGTAATCTACAAAATGTATCGTTAGTTTGCTGATACTATTTTTAATTACAGTAAAAAGTTTTATAAATCTAAAACTGTAAGACTAACGGCTAATACTGAAACGAAACTTAAACACTTCTCTGCTATTATAAAAAAAATATTGGAATTTGCAATTTAAGCGTGGTCTAAAATTTTAAAACACATACTTAAATTTCGTTTCAGTAATAAACCGTAAAACATCAAGATTTAGTCAAACATGATGTCACTTACTAACATACTATAGAAGAATTTATAGTCCATTTCAAATATGAATGAGCTCGTCATTATTCCAAAAAATAAAAAAAAAAACATTTTTTTTAATAATAGCCAAAGTATGTTTTGATAAAACATTTATTTAAATAATGTTTGAAATGAGATATTCACACTGGAACAAAAAATTGTAATTCACGTTCAATTGTTTTTACTTATTCTATGACGGCACACAACGTTTGCGCACAATCTTATTTGAAACGTACATCTCTTAAGAACATAAAATAAATTAGTAAACAAAGCCATTGTCTAAATGATGTATTCAAGCATTTAAATTGGTTCTTAATTTTCTATGTGGAATATAACATCACATTATCTAGCGCATAAACTAAATAAGATTTATGTACTAAAGTATATTTATTATTAAACACAGCCCCATTCAAGTGTTCAGAAATTAGAACATAAGAAAACATATTTCTAAATCAATGAAAAACCATAAAGACATTCAGATAGCATAAAGAATTGTCAATAGATTTTCCAACAAAAATCACAATTTCACTGTTTTTTTCGCTAAAACATTTTAACATTATTTACAAGCTAATATTTTACATTTACATTTACATTAAAACAATTGTTCTAAATATTCAGTCTATTTAACATTATGGCTTTTTTAAAGGGAAAATTAATTATTACAACAGATTTTAACACCGTGAATTTCAATTGTCGTAACATGAGAACATTATTGCTGTCTCTATCTGTAAACAGAATGAGAGAGATAGCAATATTGTTGTCATTTACGTCAATGGAGACCCAACGTTATGGTTTAAGAGTTACAGATAATTTCTTATAACTATTTAGCACTAACATTCTTATTTTTAATTATTATATTAATATCAAAGTTTTAATGTTTCTGTATTTGTTGTTTAAAGTACACACATTATCTTAATCGATTTTTTTTAATAAATCAAATCGATCATCAGTATTAAGTTATACAAAAAATGTCTAATTTTTCCATATAAATTAGGCCAAACATTTAAATTCACAATTTTTACAAATAAATCATATATTTTTATTTTCGCTTTCAATATTAAAATTTAATATTACGCTTTTGATATTACATTCAATTAATTGTATAAGATAAAGGAAAAGGAACAACAAAAATGATGTAAAAAAATTTAAATACACTTTACAAATAGATTAAAACCCTGAACTACACATATACATAAATAGGTACCAGCTGGGATCTTATATATACAAAAATAATACTAAATACATTTGATAATTAAGCATATAATTGTAAATAAAAGAAAAAATTATTAGAGTTATCTTTAATATTTAAAAAAAAATTGCTTTCGACTATCAAATAACCATATCCTAATACAAACTCAGTTGAATTGGTTAAAATAAATATAAATAAATTAATTTAAAAAATCATTTAATTTTGGATCGGGCATTTAGACTACAACAGACCACGAAATAATAGTAATCAATACAAAAACTTTACCCTCACTAGAAGTCAATACTTTCTTAATAAAATAGATTTAATTTCGCAACAAATAAGGAGAACACAAAATTGCTGGCACCAGTAGTACTTAATTCACTTACAACAATAACCATTGAACAAGTATGGATTGTAATTCAGCTATCTTACAGTCTCTGTATAATTTTGCATCAAAAATTGCAGAAGTATTTGTAAAAGTAACATCACAATTGTTGGTAGACAAGTTTCTGTAGCTGCTCCTGTAACGAAAAATAATATTTAAGCCAGCTACACACGTTCAGTTTTATCTGAACAATCGTTCAGACAAATCTCTCGTATCAGCAAAACTGAGAATTGAATAGTCAGTTTTGTACATTAATCTGAATGATAAGACTCTTCAGATAAAACTTAGCGTGTGCAGCTGGCTTTAGATACATAACAATATTGTTTTAACAAAAAATGTGGTCCATGTGATCAAATATATATTATCTTTATAAAATTTTATAACTGTACCTAGCATTTAAAAAATGTGTTCTTGTAGAGGCTTTACATCAGTGGAAGCTAATAATAAGAAGGAATTGACTGTCTATAATAATTTTGTCACTCTTTTGTGTTTCAAACAATTTTTTTAGAGATGAATATAAATGAATCTTGCATATTCTATGTTGATGTTAATCGCACCATTTACTGAAATCATTAGTGTTTTATTATTTTGTTTTGTAAGAATCGTATTACCTGTAAAACTTCTTCCTAACGCAGAAGCAGGATTAGCGCTACGTTCTCTCAACACAATTGTGTGACTTGTTGCTTTCCATATATCGAATATTGATGCTTCACATCTGAAACAAATGAAAGAAGCTATTCAGAAGAAACGTCAGCAAAAAAACAAACTGTAGCAACTGCTAATTAATAAGAAATTAAAAATGGAACACTTTCTTCTGCAGAAGCCTGATTGAAAGGATTATTCCCAACCGTCACCGCGCTCTGTCCCCACGTTTTGCAACGAGCGGTCGGTTGGAACTCATTTTATTTTTTTACAGATGGAAATCTAACACCTTATTGGTGATAGTGGTACTAAAAGGTGGGACGGATGTAATTTTTATTCTCATCTGTCCCGACGCGGGAAAAAAGCGCGGTGACAGTTAAGAAAAATCCGATTGAGATTTGAAATACAAAACTTACCGTATCATAAGTGTTGGCACTGGGGATAACGCAGTGGCCTCCAATTCTAACGTAGCTAAGCTAGATGCAAAACCGTTGCTAAAGTTGAACACATGGTTCGCTGTGAAACCCGGCACCTAAAAAATAAAACTTTTATAGTGTTTTTTTTTACAATAGTAGTTCCTGGAGAAAATATACATTTGCTGTAGACTTTCTAAACTGAAAATTGAATAAGCTATTTTATTGGTATTCGAGATCTAAAAGTAGAAATATTGATAAAAAAAAAAGAAAGAAACAAAACGAAACGATGACGATAGATTTTTTTTAGGATGATATACTTTTGTTATTAACAATGATACTAAACTCAGAAGATATTCTAAAGAGAGCGTTACAAATGCTCACCATTTGTTCGTTGACAAACCACGTGATGTTGGCAGCTGGTAGGGAAGGCGGTGATGAGCAGTTTACTCGTATGTGATCCCCACCGACGTATGACACGCGGTCGGCAGTGACATTAGGACTTAATAACGGTGGCTCTAAAACAAAAATGACATGTTAGATCATAGTAAGAGCAATAGAAGAGAAGCCAAGATCTGTAGACTACAAATTCAGTGCTGAATTCACTCCACCACTGACGCCTTTGAAATTTTGCTATTAATATCTTATTTTTTTCAGGATCGACGTTTGTTCGATTTGAGCCTAAACTGCTGAATGGATCTCGATGAATTTTGGCATAGATGTAGAGGATAGTCTGGAAGAACACATAAGTTACTTGTTGTAGTTTTTTATTCTACGTGATCAGAGTCGCGGGCGAAAGCTAGCATTAAAATAAAGGTTTAAAATACTTATGTAGTACGATAAACAAGGTAATTTTAATCATGTAAAATCAGAACTATCAATACGTTTTTTAAAACCAAAATTTTGTCGGAAATATGTTTAAAATATTTACTCAATGACATTTCCGATTAATTATGGTTTTGGAATTTATTTGGCGGAAACTGAATTTGTTATTACAAGGTATTACGTTATTAAATATATTGAAAATTCAATTTACATGTTTCGAACTATATTTATTAACAAACACTTTTATGGTGGCTCATTTTTAAAATATGTTACAAATATATATTACTTCATTTATAATGAACCAGCTGATGTTCGCGACTTCGGCTTCTTCGAATTACAGAAAAAAATACCAAAACGTAGCCTAGGATACTGATAATGTAACTTTTAAATGATGCAAGAATTATTTAAATCGAAACAGTACTTTTTGAGTTATTTCAATACATTCAAAAATAAAAATCTTTCCTCTTTGTTCCATGAGTAAATTTGCATACATTTTTTTTTATACAAAATAATTAATATATACTAATATTATAAAGAGGAAAGATTTGTATTTTTGTATTCTTTTATGTATTGAAATAACTCAAAAACTTCTGGGCTGATTTCAAAAGTTCTATCAGCATTAAAAAAGCTATATTACTTATGAATAACATAGACTATATTTGTTTTCTTTTCACGTGGACGAAGTTCTAAATACAATATAGAGAATTAATTTGGCAATGCAGAAAACAAAGCACCGAAGCAGATTGAATTCGGGCTGGGCCGTTTGTTTCAAAACGTCTCGACTAACGCCAGCTGTGTTGATATGCAATATTTCAGAGCTCCTAATAAAGGGTTTCATAGAAAGAAGAGTAATATCGGACTTGTTTCGGCTCCGACTTTTGAATTTCAACAGCTTTTTATTCTTTAAATTTAAGATTAAAATCGTATTGTAAGCGTGTTTACCTGTGACTAAACTATCGCTTAACTGCTTATTCTGTTTCATTCCTATGAGGTTAGCGTGGTATGGACATGTTATGTGACGAGACGATGGGGACATAAACCAGAAAGTGTTAAGAATGAATGTGAATGGCTACAAAGGAAGAGGACGACCGAAGAAAGTATGGATGGATTGTGTGAAAGAGGATATGCTTAAGAAAGGAGAAGTTTTAGATATGACGGCTGATAGAGATGTATGGAAGAGCAGCACATACTGTGCGGACCCTCCGTAAGGGATAAAGGCAAGTTGATGATGATTTCTATGACCTTATATGGAGGTGAAACTCGTTTAACTAAACAGTATAATTGGCTGCGAAAAAGTTGACAATCGCAAATCATTTATGCGCCCGCTCTAATAATACGAGTTGAACTTATCGTTCTACTATTAGGTATTATGCTGAAAATCGTAGCGGATACAATATCTAAAAGACTGCAAAGCGTTTTCGCTCTAATGACACGATTGTCAGTTGTTTAAAACAAGTAAACCATGTCGTCTTCTATACTAATATCATAAAGAGGAAAGATTTGTATTTTTGTATGTATTGGAATAAGTCAAAATTTATTGTGACGAATTCAAAAATTCTTTCACCATTAAAAAGCTAGTACGTCATCAGTGCGTAACGTAGACTGTTTTTATTTGTTTTTTTCTTTTTAATTTCACGCGGACAAACGCGATCAACAGCTAGTCATACTAATCTTATAAATGCGAAAATTTAGATGGATGGATGCATGTTTGTAAGAGTTTGTAGTTTAAACGGCTGAACGGATGTGGATGATTTTTGGCACAGATGTAAAACAAAGTCTGGAAGAACACATAGTACACTCGGTTTTGATTTATTCTACGCGGACAGAGTCGCGGGCAAAAACTAGTCTTTAATAAAATAACATACAATGGCTTACCTACAACTACCATTTCTGCAGCTTTGATATCTGTATGAAACAAAGGAGCGTCTGCAGACACTTCACACTGGTACTCTCCAGTCAATGTTCTGTCCACTTCAGTCAGCACTACTCGATTCTGATCGGAAGCGGCAACCTGTTGAACAAGATTATTAGACCACAATTCCATTAATAAAATTTAAAATCATTGAATTCCTGATGTCAATTACACTAAGGAAAGATAAAGTCTGAGTTGTGCAAAATGTCAGTTAAATGAATCACACTTAGAGCGAGCATACATCTTTGACCAAACTATCGCACAACTGTTTAGTCGCGCTTTGATTCTTATAAGCTTACATGGAGGTTACAATACTCGATTTTTAGTTGTGCAACTAAATTGAAATTGGCTGCGAAACAAACGACAATCGCACAACCGTTGTGCGATAGTTTAGTCAAAGTTGTACGTGCTCTATAAGACAACATAAAATTAGATTGAAAATACCGTCGCACAAACTGTCTTAGTAATTTATGTTGGCATAATTCTCGAGGGAAACGCTGTAACAATTTAATTGTTGAGGTTAAGAAACACTCGAGCGGTTATTACATAATTATACACTTCGAAAGTGTTTATTCCAGAATGCCTTCGTAATTTAAGTACAAAATTGTAGTTACAATTTTTTAAAGAACATTTTGTCATAACGATTTTTTTAGATTTTCACTGGCGCGTTCATGAACCACAAAAGAAAATGATATATTGATAGAAGTACACACGTCTATTGGCTCGGTGGAAAAGTGATTAGTGACGGGACATTAAAAAAAATAGACAGTGTTTAGTAGGAAATTTATTCAAGCGCCAGGTGCATTTATGACGAATCTTGGCTTTTACAAAATTATTATGTGTCGGCTTGTAAAATCGAATTTAGACCATTTCATTTTATAGTAGTCACTTAAATCGCGAAATTGTAGTCTATGTCTCTTACTATTATGAAGAGGAAAGATTTTTATTGTTGGATTTTTCTATGTATAAAAATAACTCAATAACTACTGGGCCGAATTCAAAAATTCTTTCACCATTAAAAAGCTACATTATCAGTGAGTAACATAGACTATGTTTATTATTGTTTTTCTAATTTCACGCTTGCGAAGTCGCGTTAGTCTACATTATCAATCAGCGGTAATCAGTGTTTAACTAAACATGGTTTAACTGTGCGGAATAACAGATAATCTTTTGTATTACTCAAGGTGTACTTACATCGACTTTTATCTCCGCCACGGGGAACACTTTTGTAGCCGGCGATTCCTTTGGCACATATCGATAAAATTCTATCATGTTCCTATACCATCGTATGGAGTATAATTGTGCACCTTCCAGCTCGTAAGAACACATTAGCTCGGCGTCCCTGCCTGTTAGAATGGCTCTAGGGACGTGTATTTGCAGAGATTTGAGAGTGTTCGCCGTACCTGGAGACAATATATTAGAAATCAGTTGAAATTATGCTTGTAATACGTTGCCTGTGGCAATTTCTGTATGCATTTTTATAAGAGTGAAATATACAGATAAAATTAAGATATTTGATTTTTCTTTTAGGTTGAAACTGTCACGCAAACGAAAACTAAATCAATAAAAAATGTTAAAGAACTAAAAACCAAAATTAGTTTTACAACTAAGCAAAAGATGGCGTTATTATAAAAAATTTTACGAACACTTTTACTTTTAGTTTCTTTAAAAATAATGAGTAAATTCAAAATTAATTGAGATATACATTTTATATCTGAAAATTATTATGGTGATAGTATTATAAGTGATAACTTAGTTTAACAGGTAAGATAATGTCCGTACAAAATATCTTACCTTGTAACCTTACCTACGGAGGTGAAGAAAGTAAATAACCAGTTTATGGCAGCTCGTTAGAAGTTCGGTCGTAACGATAAACGACATTTATGCTGTTATCGCCGTTTCTCCCTCAAATCTGGGACTCTTAATACTTTTGTAACTTATTATTGCCTGGTACTTAGTTTAGACGCTCCAAAAGAGTTTTGTTGTAACTTTGATGAGATTTAGAAGTTATGATTAAGAAATGTAAGACTTATCCCTTTATTAATTGCTTTCCGGCGTATTTTCTTTTCAGTTTTATATAAAAAGATTGACTATTTATTTTTTATTTATGTTTTAGGTATAATAGACATAAATTATATGATTGAAGTGTATTACGTGACGATTGTTAAGTCAAAAGTACCTACATATCACGATTAATCACATTTCGTTACAAGAAAGAGACGAAAGATGTAACATTTAATGAAACAGAGCAAGACGCAATCAGTGTCGTGTATTTGTAAAAGACAAATTCTCAATGCAATTAATTATATCAATTATCTATTATATTCATCTCAATTATATTCATTTAAAAATAAAAACTTATTATTAAAACGAAAAACACGGTTAATTATACAATTCTCTATAATTCGACAGTATTTAAACAGCAATTTCAAGCCCTAAATTCGATATGGCGTTGCAACAAATAAAAAGATAAAAGCTTTTAAAATCTCCCAATTTATGGTTTGTTTGTTCCAATGGAATTCTATTTGGTAAATCCTGGCGTTTGCGGGCCAATATTATTTTAATACTGATAGAATGTTACATGTTTTATGCGGGATCACGCACTTGATAGCTTCAAATGTTAGTGATGTTACTTTATTCTATCGAGAATACCCTCGTAGAACTCATATGTGATTCTGTGTTATAATATTTTTAGCATAAAACCTAGTTCCTTAAGTTACATTAGTTTTTTACTTGTATATTTAAGAAATTTTTAGTTAGCAATAATTATTATTTTATAATTTTAATAAATTCTAAAATTATTTATGTTCCAATGTGTTTTATTTTCATTAATTTTAATCTCTCTAAACAATTCATCAAGCCAATATCTACACTTTCAGAAAACCAACTTAAAGCCTAACAAAACTTTATTACTAGAAGTAGTTTAATTTTCATTTTTTTTGTGACTTTTAAGTTAACAATGCATTAATTTAAATTCCTCTAAACGATTCATCACACTTATCTCTCTACATTCAGAAAGTCCAGTTTAAGCATAACAAAATTTTATTACTAAAAGTACTTCAATTTTCAAATTAGCTTGCCCTTATCATTACATTGTTAGAGCAGGAAGTTAATGGAGTGGATCATTTAGTTGCGTAAAAACCATTCGAGTGTGAGAAAGATAAATTAGGCCTGTCTTGTGTCGGAAAAAAACGACCTGCTTACATGAGATATTATTTTATTACGATTTTAATCTTTTCGGAAGTAGAAATTGGAACTAATAAGATTCACAAAGATCGTAACTTTCAAGTCTTACTAAAATTAAGAATAGATAAGTCCAAGTCTCTCTTTTTATCCATACCGTAGATTTTAGGAATTTATCACTTAATAGCTGTCAGCAACTCCGTCCGCATGTTACTAAAAATTTAAATTAGTAGCCCAAGTGCTAAAATCAGGTTGTAAAGTCGCTCTGTTTCAAATTTCATTCAAATTCGTCAAGTCTCTCTGGAATTACGTCACCATCAACTTGCCCTTGTCCCTATGTAAGGTTAGCACATTGCTTGTCTTCCATACATCATCAGCCGTCATGAATTCACTCCCTTAAGCATATCCTCTTTCACATAATTAATACATACTTTCTTCTGTCTTCCTCTACCTTTGTAGCCATCCACATTCAATCTTAACACTTCCTTGTTTGTGTCGAGCCTCTACAAAGGTGTTCCGGGTCGTGGATAAACTAACGTAGATGTTACGGCCCGGTTGGGCGAAGGAGAACACAGATTTAGTGGATAGTCCGGCCGAAACGTAATGCCGGGAGCCCACACGAAACTGTCCCTGCTGCCCCCGCAGTATGGACAGTGCATTGTGTAAATGCATTTTCCGCGAGAACAAAAAATAAAAATAAAACACTTCCTTGTTTATGTCCTTAATGATGATATAATCAAAACGGTAATAATAAAACAATCTCTAATCAAACCACTTCCATAGTACTACAAGTGCAGAGATAAACCATAAATGGAAGCTTTAAAATGTTAAACCACTTTTGAAATCAGTTTAACCGCTTGTTAACTTAATGTAGTTCCATATGAATGTAAACTTAAATAGCTAAGTTCACGCTAAAGTGAACGGGTTAATGAATACGGGATATAACGTGCTCGCAGATGCATATCTGCACTTAGCCACAATTCTACTTCGCACGCCTCACTTATGTACTGCTACTGCGTATAACTACATACATTTGTAATTTCAGATCATATACGAGTATGTTCACTAATGATGGAATTTTAACATTGGTAGACGAAATTAATAACATATGTTGCACTTTTTGACTTTGATTTCCAAAGCACCATAGCACATACAGTACAGGCGTGAAGTGAAAGCAATTTTCGTCTCATGACTTGCACACTCCATAGATCTTATGTAGTCCATTTTCTCTTTTTTAAAGAGGAGAAGGATCGGTGGATTTAATAGAGAAAGAGTAGCATAGAAAGGGGAAATATCCTCTTGTTATGTGTTCCTTCGATTAAAATAACGCATAATATCTGCAATTGCGGATGACTATAAGTAGCGGTGGTGGTTGGTGGTTGGTGGTGGTGTTTCGCTAGTATGGCA